CTAGAGATCCCCAATTATCATGGAATTTAGAAAGCAAAAGCTAAACCCAAACAGTCTAAAACAGTGCTAAGAATAGACTGACCTTAGATATAATCCATTTTCCCAGCATAAATGCAGTCATATCACTACAAGACAGGGTAAAGAGCACACATACACACACACACACACACACGCACACACACACACACACACACACACACACACACACACACACACACACACACACACACACACACACACGGTCTATTCTCTCTCCAGGAATGCTTTTAGAGTATTGAGAGCAGACCCTGCGTATAGGCCAATGTCTCTGCAGTAATAGTGGAAAGTATAATAAATTGTTGATCTAGCCTCATGTGCTAACGCTCCAAGAGGTTCTTCAGATACAATAGGGTGATAAATCACAAAGCAATATTCCTGTCCTGCGATTGGAGATTGGAAACAACTTGTTGAACAACTGCTTATCTAGTGGGCCTTTAGATAACAAAGTGATGTGTGATTTGTGTGACAAATATTTCTCCACAACATTGTACTTTGTTCGGGAAATTTGTACATAAATCCCCAAATTCTTGAGTTTAATGCTGTAGACTCACCATGTCTGAACTACTCAGCAGCTAAACAACACAAAACTACTAAAACAATGACTTTTTCTCTATAAAATGGTACAACGCTGTAGGAAAGGTTAAACGTAAGCCTAATAAACACTTAAACTTAACAAAAAACAGCAATGAGACCGCCTGATGATAATGCCACGGTGAGTTTATGCTGGATGAAGCAGACAGACACACAGCAAGGCTCTGAGTCTAGAGCTGGAGGTTAGTCTGAATTTGGAGTTGGAACGGGATTTGAGTTTATGGTGAGCTTGCATGTTTGCGTGTTACACTGCAATCATCAAAACCCTCACAGATTCTCTACTGGCTTCAACAACATTCAACACAACATTCAACAATCAGAATCCATTAAAAGGAGTTGTACGATTTTAAACGCTGACCTCCGCTTCGTCAAAACAGCAAATAACTCAGAAAACAGAAACAGAAAAAGAGAGAAAGAAAGAGAGATAAACAAAGTAGTGAGGCAGACTGATGGGAGCGAAGGCATACAGTCATTGAGATTTAAAGAGGCTCACTCACGCATGTTTAGTGTGCCTGCCTCACGGCCACTGCACTTCCTATGCTACTGTAAACTCCAGACAGTTCTGGGCCTTTGATCCTTGAACGGCAGAAGGCAGCCATTCAGGCTATAAAACCAAACTACCTGCACACACACATATGCACGTACACACACACACACACACACACACACACACACACACACACACACACACACACACACACACACATAAGATTAAAGTACAAGTACTTTCTGAATGACTACAGTATATACGCTATACAACTAAGGACGCACAGCTTTCAAGTTTCCATTTCCAGGCATGCTAGTAGCCCTATGATTATCTTATCGCAGCACTGCATTACAGTCTAATTTCACAATTTCACTAAGTAATACTGCTACCACAGCTACTACTACTACTACTAATAATAACCATTAGTATAAAAAAAAAGGAAGGGAAGGAGAAAAAGTAACCAAAAAATGCAAGAAACAACTAAAAGAACAGTGTCTCCAGATGTGTTTGTAAGGAGTCATTTATAATCCAGTATAGATGATAGTAAGTAAGTCCTCGAGCAGATCATTTTACAGTCTCGGAGCGCTGAGGCTTAAAACACTAATGGATTGGAGAGAACACAACAATGAGAGAAATTTGACAAGCAAAACAATGGACTACTTCAGCAATGAATACTTGGGAAAACCATCTGTATATTAAATAGTGGCTATAGCCATCAATGACGTCAACCATTGATTTGTGGAGTACAAATTAGGCATTAGGGCCGTCACCTTCTTGTTTTTTTGGAGCCAGAAGTGACTGTGATTGGACGAGAGGGTGGAGCTGGGGAGATAAACAATGTTACGCCTCTATCCTGATTGGATCTGACTGAGAACCAAAGACACATTGTGGTAATTTACGTGGTAGCCGTGCTCTAAATGGGATCATTGTTTAAACTAGCGATTGAGACCATAAAATGTTTACTGAGGTAACAAATTAAGTGAGAAGTAGGTTTATTTACTCGTAAGCTTACAATCAGACAGATTACTGATTTGTAATCATTGGAGTCGTCCCCTGCTGGCCGTTAGAAAGGATGCAGGTTTAAGCCACTTCTGCACAATCTATGGGGAAAAAACTGTTACTGTAACAAAGATAATTTATCCATTCAGAGGATAAAAGCAAAGCAAAGGTCACATGGATTAACCCAAACGCCATTCAAGAACAAACAAGAAAGTCTACAACTTCCTTGTCTCCCCTTTCCTCATCAGGTCAATGATGTTGCCCTTAACCTGTTAACTTGGGGCTCTTAAAAAACTCTACAAAGCGGTACATTTAACTGCTGCAATCAACTATTCAAGAGGTGTCCCATCTGCATGCTAATGGCCTGTTCAACTACCTAAACCTTTACATTTTCACACAACTTGCTATTCAATCATGGGAGTAAATCTGTTACACATCTTCAAGAGGTCCCCCTAGACATCATTTCCTTGTTCCCACTGACCCAACACAAAGTGAGAACTGCTTATCTAGTGATACATAGTCCCCATTCTTCCAGCACCCCAAAAAATGCAATTAAATGTCCAGCATTTGGATGAGTGACAGTATAGGAAGTGACCTTTCCCCAAGACAAGTGAAAAGGAAGTGGAAGAGCCTTCCATCATTTAATTTTTTTACATTAGTGGTCGACCGATATTTAGAGAGGGCTGCTGATAGCTGATATATAATGGAGATATCAAAACAAAGAAAAGTCATTTATAAATCTGTTCTAATCTATAGGACATTCAGGTGTGTGTTTACAGTAGGATGAATGAGTGTTATAGCACAAGGCTGGAAACCAACTTTTTCACCACCATCCCAAAACTCACAAGGGGGAGCGCTAACATCGTTCCACACCAGCCTCACTGATAAGGTTTCTTAGAGTCAGGGTCATGGTGGTGACAAACTGGGGAAATAATCCCAAATGTCCTTCTCTTTACAAGCTATTCTTGGGAGATCCTGAGGTGCTCCCAAGTCAGATAGGATATGTAATCTTTCACACATGTTCTGGGTTAGCACCCAGTTGGACAGACTAGAAACACCTCCAGAGGAACACACACTAATCAGATGCCTGACTAATCTTTAGTGGCTTTTGGATATATCAGTTCCTGGCTCTAGATATCTGGCGCATGATGAACTGTTCGTATCTGTGATATTATTCTTTCAGTTCAAGGTCATGAGCACATGTTAGGAATGGTTTTAGAACGTATACAGACTAGTAATTTGAGGGTTTTGCTGCCCAAATCCACCTGCCAATTTCATAGTCAAACCTCCTCATGTAGAAGACCTAAAGATGTGTTAACTCCTTCACTTCTGGCACAAGTCAGTCCATAACAGACATTCCAAGAAGACTGGATACTGCAAGAATAGCCAGGGGAATCTTTGGATTCCCAAATGCCCCCCATACCTCTCACCTTGGGCATCTCTGGAAAGGGTCAGAGTACAGCCCCTACCTATGAGTTTGGTTCCTCAGCTGATCATAGCTGGATCATAGCTACAGCTAGTTGGTATTGTCAATCTCTTGCACTAGTTCCAGCTTCTTCCCCACCAGGGTAGTGACATTATGAGGGTCACTCCTCTAAGGGTTCCACCTGTGCCTGTCACCCAACTGGCATGGCACTATAACCCAACACAGGTCCTGGCATGAAGTGAGCCCACATGGAGACTCTGCAGTGTTTTGAGGATGACCAGAGCCCATGGGATTGACCACTAACGTCTCGCCGGCAAGCTCCCCTTATAGGCATGTCTACAAGAGGGGGCCCCAGTTTCGAGATTCCAGGCAAGGTCATTCTTTTCTGCTAAGGCCAATTCATAGGGGTCTTGGGATTGCCTTGTCTGGCCCCTCTCCTGGCAACGTTTTTTCCCCTACCAGGTGATAGCTGCCCCTGGCAAGACAGCTTTGAGGGTCACGCACACCGTGAGAAGATATCAATTTATGTATAGTGGGTCTGTAAAATTCTCAAACTGCAGTCCACCTGTTTCTACAATTTTATTTAAATTCAAGATTCAAACAAAGTATTTGCCTAGGGGCGCCCTGATAGCTCACCTGGCGGTGCTGGCGCCCCAAGTGCTGGGGCTTTTCTCTAATTTCCTTGATCCTTGATTTTAATGTCTAGTTCTCTGGTATAATATGGTGGCTGCCTGAAGTGATATGTTAAGTGATGTTTCCTTGGCCTATGTGTCCAAAAGACGTGTGTGTGAACTGTCTCTGAGGTGATAGGAGGGACAGATGAACAGGCCAGAGTGACACTTAATAGATCTGGTGTTTACGACTCCCAGTTTGGAGATGAGAGGGAGACCTGCTGCGTCCAGAAGTCCCTCTCTCTCAGGCCTGCAGCCCTGACCTCCCCAGGGGAGCGCGTCATTAGGGCCCATATAAACTTTTGAAGTACTGAGTCCAAGGAAAGGCCAGGTATGTAAGGCAATAAATTGTGACTTTAAATACAAACACAAAAAGTGAAAGAGTGCATGACCCCTGCCACAGAGATGACTACTTCTGAGCAGTTATGTCTTCTGTTTTTCTCCCCTTGGATGGATACCTGCCAACCATAACTTATCGCTTCCTACTTTTACACTCAATAAGAATGAGAACTAAAGGGCTTCTTTGAAGTTTTTTTTACTTGAGTCAATAAATCCATGCCAATAATTTAGTGCAGCTAAGCAAAACCACTAATTAATTGTGACATTTAAAATGATAGGGAAGGAATTCTTTAAAGCTTTGTCATCAGAGTAAATATCTTAACCATTGCTTAAGTAAATGTGAGTCATTATGAGATCTGTTACAAGCACAGCACAAACCTATTTAAGTGCAATATGTTTCTTGGAAAAGGCAGAGAGGTTGGAGTAAGTTCTGTGAAGGTGAATGTGCATGCAAATTTTCTCAAAGTATTTAGGAGTGCATACCAAGGAGAGCCTGCTATTCTAAGAGTTTATAGCTCCCTCTCATGTCCGGTGGGTGAGTGACAGTGAGAAGCAGGCAGAGGGTGTTTCTCCATTGCATCTTGGCCAGGGACAGCTGACTGGTTGGGATCTAATTGCTCTCAAGTGAGGTCAGCAGAAGGCATTTATCTAAGCAGAGTGCACAGCGACAGTGGAAGATGCACAGAGTCAGCCTGCCAGAATCAGGGAGACATCCATGGGAATTGACAGAAGCTCCCAGCTCTTGCTTAGATTTACTGCATTACTGGGCTTGGTTTACAACTGAAACTACAGCTTTAGAACTAAAGAGTCTTCAAATTAAAACTCTTGCTGAAAGGGAAAACACCTCTGACAACTCCTGTCGTCACTCAGAGCACATGTAAGTCATTAAATTAAAAATCTAAAGATTTTTTTTAACAAGATAAGCTGCATAGTTTGTTTGAAAGTAAATATTGTATGTATGCTGATACAGAAGAGATAATAGACTTAGACTATATTTCACTGTTCTGGGTCTAAGACAGGGAGACCTCTGCCTGTCACAGTACACCACAGAAATGTGTATTTACTGCCAAGAAATGTAGAATACATATTCGTATGAACACAGAAAACGAGAACCTCTTTGAAAGTTGTTTTTTAATTGTTGTAATTCTTGACTATAGAATTTGGTAAATCCCAGAAATTAGTAATTATTGTTTTGAAGCTGCTTATCAAAAATCTTTCAATTTGTATAAAAAGTGTACCTGTGAGTAAAAATATCTAAGTCTAAGTCTTTTTTTATAGTGATATCCTACATAACATTTCCTGAACTGGATTATGACGTCCCTTGTCGGATTATGGTCTCAAGAGGATGGAGCCGTCAACGCACACCATCACTGAGGACTAAAGAGAGGCAACAACTCATAATACTTCCACCTGTCTTCTTCTTCACACCACTCTCCAGCTTCAGCCAACACCAACCCGCTTCACAAAGTGTCCTCCACAACCACCCTGTCTCAACATCCCACTAGGAATCCCTGCTGCAGCAACAGGGACCCGGAGGTCCCAACACAAGTGTCACAAGTCAGGGATCAGGGGATCGCTGGGCTGAGGGATAGCACACAGATCTCTATCTCACATTTCAGTATGTTGTTCATTGATTCCCACTGCATTGTATTATAATGCGCAAATGGATGCTGACATGGAACCTTCAAAATCTGTTCTCGGGACTGTACCTGCATGCAATCTTCCTGTTCGGCAGTGTGTGTGTGGTCTACAGTGACTGCACTCCAGAGCAACTTGCCGCCATCATGAACTGCTCCAGACACGAGCGCCACACCAGGAACTACGACTACATGGAGGGAGGAGATGTGCGCATCCGACAGCTGTTCAGCCGCACGCAATGGTTCCTGACAATTGATGACAATGGCAACATCAATGGGACTCAAGATCCTACCAACTGCCACAGTAAGGATGACTCTTCTTGTCTTATTATAAAACCACTGCTTCAATAAGTTTCTCTGTATTTATTAGTAATAGAAAAAATACACAAATCTACCCATTTAAATGTTATAAATGTAGTTTTGAGCTCTTTCCACTGAGTCAGTAAAGAACCTTTAGCCTGTCAAGGTGACAGAAGCACGTGGGAGGTGTTATTGTACAGAGTGCTCTACAGTGTAATCACAGTGTTAATGGGTCATGAGTCTCTGTTAGAGCAGCCAAAGTGACAGAGGTAAAATGAAGCAGGCGGGGTCTTTGGCTTGTTAAACCATAACACCATGTAAACACAAGCTGTAATGAAGTAAACTGAAGGGTCTTGGAGACTGATGGGTGCCAGGCCCCTGTGACCTCGGGCTCACATCGGCACTGGCTTACATTTGTTCAGCCGTATTTACTCTCCCACAAATGTACAGTCTCAGGATGAAATATCGGGACAAAGAATTAGCATTAATATATTAGAAATTAGAATTCAAGAATTAGAAAATGGATGATATTCACTTTCTAATGATCCTTTGGTTAGAAAATGACATCTCAAACAAAGACAGCCACCTTACCGTGTCTAGTCCAAAATTACTATTCCAAAAAATTTAAAGCAAAGTTTGTCAAATACTACACGCCAGTTAACCAATGAATCGAATGAGAGTTGCTAGCCATGGTAATTGTAATTTAACACATTCAATTGTTAAAATAGTTTCTTTTTGAGCCAACACTTTTCAAAGTTCGTGTTCTCTGATACTACTGGAAATCTCTGTCATGGTGAGGATGTTTTAAGTAGTTATCATTTCCTCCTATCTGACAGTGTGGCTTTGGCTGGAATGTTGGTATGACAGGGAAATGCCTCAAAGTGGATGGAGAAGATGCTTGTGCAACAATTGGCAATGAAAGACAGACGAATTGATCCACCCTGATGTGGCTGACAATCGCACGCTATAGGCAGACAGAAATTTAACCAATAAGCTTTTGAAGAGACTGGTGTGGATATATATGTAATAAATCAGTGAGTCATACTTTCTGGCTGCAGTGAACAAGAAGCCCTGAAAGGCTGATTGCATAAAGGTTTTTTTTTTTTTTGGGGGGGGGTTTACAAAAAGAGAAGGTAAAAAAGAAGAAACCAAAATGAGAAACTTGGATCTGCATTATTTCTGGCCCTCTGCCTCTTCAATAAAAAAATGTAGGCTTACTTCCAGTGAACTAATTTCTTGCAGTTTTTTCTAACATTATTACATTTCAAATGGTTGTTTAGATAAATAAATCTAAACATCTGCTTCTTTCTTTCTTCTTCTTTCGTATTTGCAATGAAAAGTCTAGCACTGATATTGGGATAGAATAAAACAGTTGTGTGGCTCAGAGGCAGAGCAGGTCGTTCCTTAATCGGAAGGTTGTGGGTTTGATCCCCGGCTCCTGATGCCACATCGAAGTATCCTTGAGCCCCAAATTGCTCCTGATGCCGTGCATCGGTGTGTAAATGTGTATGAATGTTAGTTTCTGCTCGATGGACTTTGCCATCACTGTGTGAATGTGTATGTGTATGAAAGGGTGAATGTGGCACGTAGTGTAAAAGCGCTTCGAGTGATCGGAAGACAAGTACAGGTCCGTTTATCGTTTGCTCTAGAAATGTTTCTAAAACATAATATGTGTGTTCTGGTCAGGGGCATTGCAATAGTTTCCAGCAAAATTATGTACTGAATGTGTAAACAAATCCTCAAAAGCAAACAAACCCATATAATGATAACAGATAGATTTACATCAGTCAACATAGTAAAATGGTCATTACTAGCATGTTGTATACAAGTGAAAGACTATGGCACAACTTAATTTGAAAATTGTGATAATAATATCAATAAAAAGGTTTTGTTAAGCCACAGCAAAGAACAGATAAACAACTTCCAAGAAATTATCAACCGCAGCACAACGACTGGAAAACTGAATTAAAAGACAATAACTAAATAAATGTGGGGAAAAAGCACTCAGATTGTGGCATTATAGACTTGGTGTCAGGTGCAGCCACTTAAAAATAATTGAGAGACTGATTGTATCCTGTACTCGCTATTAATGTAATAAAGATAATCTGATAAAGATACAGAGTATTTTGTGGTTTCAGTGCAGATAAGGATTAGACATCACATTTTAAGACAAAGAGAATAAAAATTAATTAAATACATTTTTCCAGACATTACGTGTTGTTAAGGTATTTGAAATTCCACTGCACAGTAATGCACTATTCCTGGAAGGCTGTCTGCAACATCCAGTAAACACTGGATTCGAACTCTGTTCAGAAAAAGCAGGATTAGGGATTACCCACAAGTTAGTTTACTCAGCCAGGGGTTGGACCAGAGAGTGATAACAAATCTGTTAAAGCTGAGGATGGCCTGAGGCTATCCACGTCAGAGCCAAAATGTTAACAATATGTGTGTGTGGAAGTGTGTTCCATCTTTCTACAGTAGACCAAACAACTGAAGCTGTTACATGTAATATTATGGGAATAGCAGAAGATGCTATGCTTCTTAACAACCATAAAAAACAATGTATGGTATATTAAGAGATGAATAGTTAACTGACTTTGAATGTATAAGGGGTTTACAAATTAAGATGTAGCTCTAACAGCATTCATTTGAACTTTCACCATGTCATGATTAATAAAATCAAACATTGTAATCGTAAAGCTGGGTTAAATAAATATGAGCACACAGCCAAAGGGCAGTAATATTAAATCAAATATCAAGTGCAAGCAGAACACAAACAACATTTTAAGATTGGGAAACTGCCATCTGTTTGTGATCAGACACTAAAATGCAGCATGCTCAATGTCCGTCTGAAGAGCTTTAATAGAGTTCTTTCCTTTTTTCTCTGCCTGTCAAATGAAAGGATTTCTGCAATATGTAAAAATGAACAACACAATTTTTATATTACCCACAAATCAATGATCTGGACCTGTAATGTAAAAGCTTTTTCTATGATGAACAAAGATTTTAAATGTTTAATTGAGCCAAGTAGATCTAATAATCAGTGAGTCCAGCAAGTAATTTGCTCCTTCAGTTTCAAAGGAGGTGAAACACCATACTGTAATCATTACTGCCAGTGTTCTTAATATGTTCTTAATATAATACATATTTAGAAATATTGCTGTATATATGATCTGCATTTGTATATTTAAAGTTGTAATCTCAGCCTTCAAAAGTTGCCCACTCTAGCCTGTTTTCTGCATTTTCTACCTATGTACTCTTTAAGTCTTAACACATTGTGTTTCAATGCAAAGACTAGTAGTATTTGTTTCAGGTTTTCAAAACAATATTTTCATTAATAATTAAAGTAATGGCCTTTTAATATAAACCCAAGAAATATAGTCAAACATACCCCCATTCTTTGAAGTTGAACGTTATAATAAATCTAAAAAAATTCACAAACCAAAATAGTTAAGCATAAGTGTTTTTACTCTCCCACAGAGTTGAAGAGCAGGCCTAAAATGTAGCGTGCAAAGCACACTCAAGGAGGTAGTTTTCTCAATCCCAGGAGAGAGAGGCCTAATCTGTCTCCCATATGTGCTATGGCATAGGTTGTGGTTTGTGTAATGGCCACCCAGGCCAGTTAACAAGGCTTGAATGAAGCCAGAGAGACCACAGACTGATTAACCACAGGAACTTCCATCCCATTTGTTAATGAAGATGAATGTTGAGAGCAGTGTGGAGCTGGAGTGAAAGCTGGATGTCAACAGTGTCTTATCTGTGCTGTGATATGTCTCATTTTCCTAACTGTCTGAACGTCTGGCAGGTATCCTGGAGATCAGGACAGTGTCTGAAGGCGGCATACTGGCTATCAAAGGCGTGAAGAGCCAGTTTTATATCTCTATGAGCAAGGCTGGACAGCTGCAAGGCAAGGTAATATTTTTCCTCAATGAGAAAAGTCTTACACTGTTTGCAGCTAATCCACAGTCAAGTTGAAATATAACAACTGTTGCAGAATATCCTTTTAAATAATCAAGACCAAGAAGTGACAATATGTTAGCAACAGCAGATTGTATTGTATCAGTGCTGTAATGTTTGTCTTGTCTTTTACAGAGGATCTACAATGAAAACTGCAACTTCAAGGAGGTTTTCCTAGAAAACTACTTCAATGCTTATTCCTCTGCAAAGTGGACTAAAAATGGCAAAGAAATGTTCATAGCCCTGTCTCAAAAGGGAAGGCCAATGCGAGGGAAGAGGACCAGGAGGGAGCATATAGCATCTCACTTCATCCCGATGAAGTGCAGGGAGGAGGAGAGGAGGGTGGACTGAAAAAGCAGAGGACTAATGAGTCGTAAATTGTGTATGACTTCAATCACATATATGTTAACAGACACATATATACTCATTACCAACATCACGCTCCACTCTCCTCCATTTGTAGATTTGTTATGTTATAATATGTTGTAATATCCATAAGATAAAGAAACAGATATCAGACGACATTAAACTATCCCAAACATTCTCAAAGAAGACGCTGAAACTAGAAAATACTAAAATATTTCAATTAACTTTGACTGGTATACAAACTGTAAATCCACAACTCGATGTTATTGTTATTTTGAGTTAAATATCATATTTCCTTATAAAACAGTTAAGTATTTTCTTATAAAACAGTAAAATGTATTATGAACAGTCGGGATTGTATCCTTTTCCAAAGATGATCTACACCCGGCCAGTTGAGGAGACCTGTATGATCAACAGAAAGGTCCAGCATAGAGATATGGCTTGACCACGATGTGCTGAAGCAAGCTGGACTTGTCTTTTATTAATGGTACAAGTGCTCAGAGCACGCAAAAAACAAACAGAGGCACGATGAATTACAATAACATGTTCAGAAGAGTAAGTAGGGTTTGAGAATGATCTATTCTGATCTGTCTGTCCTTCCTGCATTGAGAACTCTGGTCAGATGCATTGTAGCTGTTCACTGATTCCCTCTTCATTATCAAGGTGTGATTTTGAAATGCTAAAACATTCTGCTGCTGCTGAAAAGATATCCAGATTAAAATACAAAGTGAACATAATAAATGTGTATGCTATGCAATCTCTTTCCATCAAAATTAATAATCCTATACACTATAACATCACATATTTATTTATAAGGAGATTTGTTTTTAGTTAGTGTTAAGACATTCCCATTTTTACTAAGTATGACTAAGATAAAACATTTACCAGGAGGTCCACTTATATTTACCACACCTAATCAATACTAATTTCAATCTTAAAGGCCAACTCTCTGCATGACATCACTGCAATATGCCCATACTAACTGATGAGTTATATGTTAAAGTGTCCTGTTTTCTTACAGTGTGCATTGTTGCACATTACTGGGCAACTGTTGAAGTACAGTGAGATTGAGTTAGAAAGTTAGTGTGTTTTTTTAACATTATAAGATATAAAAATCTCACAGTAACTAGCTTAAGTTCCTTTGGTTAACACGTGACAGTTACCTACTTACACATCCAGCAGAAAGAGAGCAACACAGGACATGTTTGGTGTCATTTTTCTTGTATTCACAAGCACTTTTTCCTGCTTTGGTCAGACAGTTTTTAAGAAGAATATCTGGCACTCGTGAACTAAATGTTCTACCTTTCGTCCAAAGCCACTCTGTCAATCAGCAAGCCATTATTTCACCTGGTAATGTACAACCCATATCTGTGAACAGTGTCTTGATTCTTAATTTGATTCTTGAACTAGCAACAATTTCACATTATAAGAAGTATTTTAATTCAATGTTAATGTAAAAAATATTGCTTTGTTATATTGCAACCTCAGAAAGAAAAATCTGCATATGAACCATGCCTTTATTCTGCCACTGATGAGACTATGGAGCTGAGCAGCGAGCTCTAGAGTAAGATGAAGAGAAAGAGGTTCTGCTGACATACTGTGATACTGTGTAACTTCAACACACCCTCGATAACTCAATAAATCTGATTTGAGAAATAAAGTTTTTTTTACAATTTGCATGCCGACCATTACTGAGAAAGATGACCTTGTTATTCAATAACAACTTTTTAAATATCTGTAATCTCGAGTGATTTGGACTCATTTCTGGTACATGATAAAATTGTATTATGATAAGTACAAAATGTGTGATCTGTTATTTGCTGTTATTTCAATCTTATTAGAAAATGACTGTTCGAGGATTAGTCTAATCTTTGATAAAATTATGGTTATTCAGCCTTTAATTCTATCATTTGTACAAGCCTGTAGAGAAAAGGTATTACACATTAAGCAACTACAGTGTCCAACTCTGATATTACTGCAGTCCTCTGGAGATATTAAGCAGTCCATTTCCCAGTTTAGCTGATTTAATGACAAGATAATCAAATCTGTTGATGTTTTCTTTGAGAAGATTTAATACACATGGCTAAGAAACATTCTGGGAAAACTTTAGTGTCCTTAGACAATCCTCGACACGAGATATAAATGAATAAGATCACTCAATCTGATAAGGGAGGTTGAGACGTGGTAATACAACTCGAGGATAAATCTATTAATTTATGATGGAAGATAAAAATATCGACATGGTCAAATGTCACATTAATTCCCTCTGAGTTTATATTGTATTGAGTATAAGTGGAGTCTTGTCAGTGCAAAAAACTATCGCAGACATATTGGCAGGGTGCCTCCACCATACGCTCATACAAAAACATATTTAAGCACACAGACACACACACACACACACACACACACACACACACACACACACACACACACACACACACACCAACACATAGCATGAGTTTTCCCTTTTCCCTGGGTTCACATCTGGCTTGGAGAACCCCTGTCAGATAAAGACAGTCAAATTGAGAGAGCCAACCCCTGAAATACATTTGACCCAAACAACATCTGAGCAAGGTGAAGGCTTCTGCCAAGTCACGCAAAGTTAGTCTTAGCAGATAATTTGTAACATGCTCAAAATGTAAACACATTTCAGACTCAAGGTTGTGTATTCCCAGCAGAGGCGAGGCTGAAGCCAGTGAGAATGAGAGAGAACTGTCATAGACATGAAGATAACAGACTTCCAAAAGAAAAGACGCAACACAGGCACGCCAGACACATAAATTACACTTACAAGGTGTTCCAAGAGAGACAGATTTTGTTTAATAAAAAGCTCCTGAAATCACAAATCACTATCGTACTTTTTTAATACCTTTTCTTTTTACAAAATGTGGGATTCCCGTGCACTGTTCTTCATCTGCTGTTCATTACAGTTATCAGATAGCAAAATGATGAAAGCTGCTATACTCCTGCCAGCAATGACAAAGAGTTTCTTTTCAATACAGAATACTGCCATGTTACGTCATCACTGAATGTATGCAAGTAAACTGTTTAAACAGCCAATGTCTCAATTGTTCTTATTTTATATTAGCAATAATTCGGAAATTGATTACCAGATTACGAGGTCAAATGTAGCGTTAGAGTAGTGTTTATACTTCATTTCCTCTGCTCAAAATAACAGATAAGAGCTACTGTGCAGTTTGATGGACCTGCTGGGATGAATAATGACTCAGTGACAATGATTTACTATTCAGTGCAATGATCTACAACAGCAGTATTATATTTGCATTTGTGTGGAAGCATGAAAACGAAAAACCACGTGTCCCATATTACAAACAACATGTGCAGACATGGGCAACGTCTACAAGGAGGTTGAAAGAAGTCTGACACTGGTTGTGAAAAGGGCTGCAGGGAAGGATGGAGTGAGACAAACAGAAAGGGGAAGGATGAGAAAGGAAGGCAAGTGAAGATAAACAGGGAGAGAGGCTGGGGAGTCTCGTGCGATGTAGAGAGGTGGTCTTGGGGCAGCGGGAGAAAGGGGAGGCCCTGCAGGGGAGGGGGAACACGCAGCTGAACTTGATACATTTCAGGGCCATAAACCTTCATTTCCCCAGAGGAAATCGGTGGTTATGCAACATGGGGAATTCTGTGTTTGCAGACCATAGTACATTACCCCAAGATCATTGTGAAAGAGGGTAAGGACCTCAAGCAACCAACCACAATATCGCACTTTCTCTGAATTAAATCCACACAGATATAAGCCTACGTTTTTTATAAAAAGATGTTTGTGATCACCAACAACATTGAAGACTTGAAAGACCACTTAGTTATTCAGTCACGTCCACCATGAGTGGCACTTTCTGCCTTTCAAATGCCATTTTAACTATAGTGCATTAGTAAACTATTCTTGATCATCAGCAAATAAAAAACAAAAACATCTCACTCATTCAGAGCCTCCTTTTCAGCACCCTAGAAGGAATCTCATCAGGGAGACTGAGGAATGTGATACCCCAATAATTAAAGCTCACCCTCTGGTCCCTCTTTTTGAAAAACCACCACCCCAGTCTGCCACTCCACAGGTATTGTCCTTGACCTCCACACGACACTGAAGACAGCTCAACAATGTCCAGAACCTTCAGCATCTCTACCTCAGCAACCTCTGCAACCTCTGCTAGGGATATGGGTTTGGCTTCCCCCGAGTCTTCAGGTCAGGTTCAGAAGCTCCCCAAAGTGCTCTTTCCACCACTAAAAAAACATCCCCAGTTCAGGTTAGCTTAGCTTAGTTTATTTGGCTAATGCTGGCTACTTAGGTTGCTTACCTGTCCAAGAAACCAGAATTTTAATGTAAATCAGTATAAAAAAAACAAACTATATGCATATCCTTTTTTAATTAAAACCCTACATGTACATGCTGGCACAGAAAAAGTCCCTGAACATACACCGATCAGCCATAACATTATGAGCACTGACAGGTGAGGTGAATAACACAGATTATCTGGTTATCATGGCACCAGTGGGTGGGATATGTCAGGCAGCAAGTCAACATTTTGTCCTCAAAGTTGATGTGTTAGAAGCAGAAAAAATGGACAGCGTGAGGATTTGAGCGACTTTGACAAGGGCCAAATTGGGATGGCTAGACGACTGGGTCAGAGCATCTCCAAAAGTGCAGCTGTGGTGGGGTGTTCCCGGTCTGCAGTGGTCCGTATCTATCAGTGGTCCAAGGAAAGAAAAGCGGTGAACCGGAGACAGGGTCATGGCTCACTGATGCACATGGGGAGTAAAGGCTGGCCCATATGGTCCGATCCAACAGAGGTCAAAGTGAATGCTGGTTCTGATTGAAAGGGGTCAGAACCTATCGTGACGTCACCCATCGGTTTGTGGAGTACCGCTTTGAAGCCTCGAGTTTGGCGTTTTGGCTGCCACCATGACAGTAAAATGGAGCCAGCGCGAGCCAGCGGAAGTGACGTACTTCAAACGTACAATAAAATATGTTTCTGAAACGATTTTTAGCGAAAAATAGTCAACGCAGTTACCGGATCTAGCTTCGTATTTGAGCACCACTGCCTAGTGTGACAGTTTGATGGGATATGACGGACTCACTGAGAGTGACCTGTCAATCAAAAGGTAGCCCAGCCCAAAAGCATACGCAACTTTAATGTCTATTTTACTCTAAATTAGACCATAATTTACGAAATGAACATCATAATGTATTGGAAAAGATGTGAAACTAGCGACTGAGACCCTAAAGTCATCAGGAAACTGTTCACTGAGCTCATAAATTAAATGTCAAGTCAGCTCATTCTCCATTAAAGTGAATGGGATCCGTGTGCAATTGCAGCCAATGGAGCTCCCCCTGCTGGAATTTACATAGAATGCAGGTTTTAAGACACTTTACGTTGGCTTCACTTTTCAGACCTGGAAGCTCTGTCCATTATATGTACTGTCATTGGTCAGAACACACAGTGCATCACTGTTTGTTGTGTATGACGCTGCTCTGTGTATAATCATTGTTTCATCTCTGTAGCCTTGGGTTAAACACTGATTGTAGTAGATCATTTAGTACTTTCGAATATATCAAATGAATAATTAACGGAGATTAAGTATCGGTACTAAATATTAAATATATTGCCAAATGTGCTTACGTTTTTTCAGAGTTTGAGTTATTTGGATGCCAAGAAAATAATAAAGTGAATAGTGTTCAGTGGTTATTTCAGGGGGAACTGGGGGTGTGCATATTTCGTTGCAAATACACTGCCTGATGTGAAAACTTGAAATCTCAGCAACTTTTGTATTAAAAGAGGAGTTCTGGCATTGATTAACACATTTTTTGAAACCCACTGATACATTATGGTTCCTGGATTGGAACTACATTCTAACGATGAAATAGTCCTAATAAAAAGTATTGACAATAGGGTCTGTGGATTATCCAGAGAAACAGGGACATTGTTGTTGGAATGACATGCCCGCCATTTACTTTTTCAGATGTGAAGTGTTGGTCAGCACAAAGGAAATCTCAAAGGGAAGTCTAAAAAAACCTTTGTAAAGAAAACCAAAACCATTTCCATGGCTTGATCCCAATAGAGAAAAGAATGTTTTTTTGTGATTTGAGTGGACTGACCCTTTAAATATTTCAATGAAATGAGGTTTACTTCACTTTTGGAACGTTTAAAGAGGTATCAAGTTAAATAAAAGAATGAGAGATAGTCTGCAACACAAAGCCAACGTATCATTTATGATGAAAATGTTTGAGTAAGGCATGCTTTTGCAAATATATTATGGATACTTAGGGGTTGTTTTTTTTACTTGGCTTACAATTCTGCCAAGCAAAAATCTCTTTGGGTTTTAGGAGGTTATCTTGACACATAGTGTGCAAAAACACAGTTTGAGTATATCTCTCACCACAAGCAGGATTCCTCTCTTTGTATTCATCTCCAGCTGCTGTAGTGAGCCAACTTCTGTTCCTGTTCTGCCAGGAAAAGAGTTTGGGCTTCATACCTGAAAATCACACCGTGCAACTATTAAAAAACTCACACTATTCCAAATATGGAAAGTCTGTCAGTCTGAGCAGCACTGCAAGCTTCAGGGTGTCGTTACCTGAGATCCATGTCACCAGGTCCCCAGTGTATCTCTTGAAGTTGTCATCCATTCAGGGAATGCTCAATAAAATGTTATGTTGGCTGCTGAGCTGCCTGGATACACCTGGAAGACCATATTTAAAATATTACATTTTACATTTTAAAATCTCGGACTGTATTTAGAACTGACAAAAACATAGAAAACAACTAGGAACTTTATGTATTGTGAACACTTTCCTTTTAATTTTATCTAGACTGTCGTCAACAGCGAGACAAGAATTCCTGAAATGCGGTCAGACTGTTTGTTGTTTCATTCTTGTGTGTTAGACTAAACAGAAAAGGAGGGTAAACATGTCAGGAACAGTCAATCCATTAATATTTGATGCAGAAGGATGGCTCTTAACCATGGTATTGTTGTGTCTAGCTGTGTGACAATTTAATACCAAAGGCAATACAGAGCATATAGACCAAAAGACAGTGTGCTCGGTGTGATTAATATAACTAATATTAATAAACTACTGCCATGATTCTTAAAGCAACTTGGCACACAGTGCACATTTGGCAGATTTCTGATTGCTTGTGATCTAATATCACAGACACCGGAAGGTCTCATTCGATACACATCTGTTTGCCATGCAAGTCTGCACGCGATTGTCTGTTTCATAAAAAGTGTGACAGCTCAGGTATCTTTGAAATCTGATTAATGAAAAAATCTGTTTTACATCACACCAAACACATCTGGCTTTGAACAAGACAAATGCATATTAATACTGTAGACTAGTTTTCCCTGAACTAACATTTCAGGTTTTGATCAGCCATATGGGGGAAATATCTGACACATTGAATTTGGGCTAATGCAACGTGACTTTAAAGGCTTCTTAGATTAGAATGAAATTTCCATGGTAGTAGAGAGAAAACAAATGAAAATTATTAGACTGAGTTACCATTTTTATTTGACTGTAATATTATATATATATATTATATTATATAATAATATAATATATGTATTATTCATATATCTTAAATAGCTAAAAGAAATCTAGGATGCAAATGGAAATTCAAAGATATGGATCCAGGCTATACCATTGACAGTAGGCTATATATTAGGGGCTACAAAAACAGGAGACTACAAAAATACAAAAAGTACCATCAGGGTAGCCTACATACTTAAAAATGATGGACCAAAAAGATTGGGATTGCTATATGCTGAAACAGAACTGTTAGTTTACAGCTTTTTTATTTCTAATTATTTTAAAATAATGCCTTTTTTTAATGTATACAGTGGATATAAAAAGTCTACACACCCCTGTTAAAATGCCAGGTTTTTGTGATGTAAAAAAATGAGACAAAGATAAATCATGTCCAAACTTTTTCCACCTTTAATGTGACCTATAATGTGAACAATTCAATTGAAAAACAAACTGAAATCTTTTAGGTGGAAAAATAAAAAATAGAAAACTTACAATAACCTAGTTGCATAAGTGTACACACCCTCTTATAACTGGGGATGTGGTTGTGTTCAGAATTGACCAATCACATTCAAACTCATGTTAAATATAGTAGTCAGTACACACCTGCTATCATTTAAAATGACTCTGATTAATCCCAAATAAAGTTCAGCTGTTCCAGTAGGACTTTCCTGACATTTTCTCAGTTGCATCTCAAAAGCAAAAGCCATGGTCCGCAAAGAGCTTCCAAAACATCAGAGGGATCTCATTGTTAAAAGGTATCAGTCAGGAGAAGGGTACAAATGAATTTCCAAGGCATTAGATATACCGTGGAACACAGTGACGTCATCATCAAGTGGAGAAAATATGGCACAACAGTGACCTTACCAAGAACTGGACGCCCCTCAAAAATTGATGAAAAGACGAGAAGAAAACTGGTCAGGGAGGCTTCCGAGAGGCCTACAGCAACATTAAAGGAGCTGCAGGAATTTCTGGCAAGTACTGGCTGTGTACTACATGTGACAAAAATCTCCAGTATTCTTCATACGTTTGGGCTATGGGGTAGGGTGGCAAGACGGAAGCCTTTTCTTTCAAAGAAAAACATCCAAGCCCGGCTAAATTTTGCAAAAAAAATACATGAAGTCTCCCAAAAGCATGTGGGAAAATGTGTTATGGTCTGATGAAACTAAGGTTGAACTTTCTGGCCATAATTTCAAAAGGACCCAAAGCATAAATCCAAATCAACAAAAGCGTGGCTTCACCAGAAGAATATCAACGTTTTGGAATGGCCCAGCAAGACCCCAGACCTGAATCCCATTGAACATCTGTGGGATGATCTGAAGAGGGCTGTACACAGTCGATGCCCTCGCAATCTGACAGATTTGGAGCGCTTTTGTAAAGAAGAGTGGGCAAATATTGCCAAGTCAAGATGTGCCATGCTAATTGACTCCTACCCAAAAAGACTGAGAGCTGTAATAAAATCAGAAGGTGCTTCAACAAAGTATTAGTTTAAGGGTGTGCACACTTATGCAACCAGGTTATTGTAAGTTTTTTTATTTTCCCCCCTAAAAGACTTCCATTTGTTTTTCAATTGAATTGTTCACATTATAGGTCACATTTAAAGGTGGAAAAAGTTTGGACATGATTTATTATTGTCTCATTTTTTTTACATCACAAAAATCTGGCATTTTAACAGGGGTGTGTAGACTTTTTATATCCACTGTAAGAATGTATCACAGGACAACAAGCATTCACTGTTTATTCAACTTATAACGTAACATTAATTATTAATAATGTAATGTATACCTCTGTTTATGTTACTTTTTTTATGAGAGTAGCTTTAACGTTACCCGAGACAGTATGTGGATAAAGTAGTATTTGGGTGGAATAAACTTTTATAACTACTTTAGAACAATAGGTACTTTCAGGACGGTAGTATTTGGGTGGAATTAACCTTTAAAACTATAATAGAAAGTATTATTTGACTTCTAGGGTGAAACTGCAGCTTCTGGTACTGCAGGAAGGTCTTATTGTATTTAACGTGAAAACTTACCTGAGTTAAACTAGTTTATTTAAGCAGCTAACCCAGAGTCCTCCGGTTACATTAACAGAAACTGATGTTGGCACTTGCTGTAAACTAATTTAAAGTTAGTAGGTAACTTAACTGCAGGCAAGGTCTCTACATAATAAATAAAATAATATTTTTTTCCAGGGTGGCGAAGTCATGACCCACCTTACTCTATCTCTGATTGGCTACTACTCGTTGCCTTTTCTGCTCTGATTGGTTCGATTTCGGTATTGCTGGAGATTAAGCCAATCAGAGGCAGAGTAGGGCGGGTCGCGGTCTCGCCGTCCTGGAATTAAAAAAATCGCCTACCTAACCGCACACAATTGGTGCCTAGCAACGGGTAACCGGCAAAAGTGCTCAGTGTTTCCGGCGTAGAAGAAGAGATCCACGCTGTTGTACACCGGTAGACACGTTATGCGACCAGCGAGTGGACAACATATTGTTTGTAACTCATTTAAACTAATGTTTCACAAACGTCTGCTTTCTTATTCCGCTAGCAGCTGAGCTAACTAGCCACTGTGACTTGTGTCTGCTTGTAGCCGAAGCTACAGCTCGGCTAACAGAAGCTAGCTTCACTAGCATGAATCAGGTAATGTTGCCTCAGTAGTGAAAGCTGGGCGGGTGTAACAGCGTGTGTGTGCATGTTGTGCTTCTTAAATGTTGTTACTGAGTTGTGCGTAGTCAATTGTGGTTAGCTCACTTTACATAAATGTACTAGTTTTATAATCCAGGTTAATTAAATACCCTTTATTCAGCTAAAATCTGGTAGCAAAAACCTTTTTATCGTCTTAGAGATGATCAGCTGGATCAATACTATGGTGAAACATATATATATATATATACTTATAAGACAGTATTGTGAATGTTGATACTTTTATATTTAGACTGGGAATGACTGATTGTGGATATCACAATCACATTTATTGGCCAGGTATGTGCACACATACAAGGAGAAAGACAACAAGCTCAACAAAATAGACATAAACTACTATGTACAGTTATACACACACACACACACACACACACACACACACACATATATATAAACTAACATTTGTAGACAATAGTGCAAAGGATGCTGAAATACTTTATCTTTAAGTTATATGAGGTGGGTGGATATGACAGTACACATGGGTAGATGTGTTTGAATGATTGTATTTCTGTTTGTTTTTTTTAAAGAAACTGAATTTTGACCATTTTAGTTATTAATAAAATAAATGAATAACTAGTCTTTAGCTGCATGACATGTTAGTGCATTATGTACTCCTATATCTGTTGGAGAATAACTAATTTTAAAGTTTGAGCCATACTGTATAAGTTTATAATGTTGGAATCTGGAATAGATTTACAAGACCAGGTCATTTGCTGCATTTTCATATTTCATGCTTGACACATTTACATTTCATAGCTTTAGTCATATCATGCATAATCAGATACTGTAATTTGACTTGACTAACAGAATTACAGTGGCTTTAGTGCACAAGTGTTTATGCATTTGACAGTTGACATATCTTTAAGTTATATGAGGTGGGTGGAAATGCATGTACACATGGGTAGATGTGTTTGAATGATTGTATTTCAGTTTGTTTTTTTTAAAGAAACTGAATTTTCGACAATTTTAGTTATTAATAAAATAAATAATTAACTAGTCTTTAGATGCATTAGATGTTAGAGTCCCGGGGATTGTTCCCTGAGTGATGGCCTGTGGGTAGAAATAAGAGCGAGAGAGACCATTATTGATCGTTTCACATTTGATTTGGTCAGAAAATTGTATGACTTTTAATAATAATAATAATAAGATTGTAGTAGTAGTTGTAGTAGGCAAACACAAAACAATAAAATTGCTGAAAAATGTAAACAAAAACTATGCACATAAGAATAATCATACATACAAATACCTACACATTATCCAGTCTCCTCACAGTATTAATGTTATATCAATATACCCAATATTCCAGCTAAATTCAGCTCATTTGTCTGAAAAAGACATTTTAAATAACAACCCCTAGTTTGTTTAATGGCTTTTCCACATTATTGCGCTCCCTTATGTAAATGTTGGATCATTTCTGTCTGCTAATATATGCGTCGTTTGTTTTGTCATTGTTGTTCAGCTATGAACGTCAGGCCCACATTCTCCGGCATTGGTCTGTCAACATTTAAAGAGCAAGCATGAGCAGCCTGGATCAAGACCAGCGTCTCCATCCTAGTTGCCGTGACAAAACAACAGTCTCTAGTGACTCATCAGACGCTCATGAGCTTGCCAAGCAGCCTCTCCAAGGTCTAAAATTGGCATCCCATGCAGTGCTGGAGGAAGCACAGCAGAGGGGCAGGTTGAAGTGCTCTAAATGTGGAGGATCAAGGATGTTCTTCTGCTACACATGCTGCTCATTAGTGGGTGTCACCGTACAAGAAATTCCCTTAATCAGGGTCAGTAAGTGGTTAGGGCTCACTTTATTTGCTCCCTTAAGAGAGACCTTGGCTATAGTAGTATCCTAATGTGGTGGAAAATGTTATGTCTTTCATGTACGATTTATGAAATTTTGCACATGGAGTGGTTGAAATGTAACCGCCTTCTTGACCTGACTGTACATATTTTACGTTGTGCTCAGCTTCCTGTGAAGATAGACATCATCAAGCATCCCAATGAGACAGATGGCAAGAGTACTGCAATCCATGCCAAGATCCTTGCACCCAGTGACGTCACTATATACACATACCCCTGCATACCTGACTATGAAAAGGACAAGGTAAGTTGTTTTTCATGCCAAAAAGTTTATTTAACTCTTACACTTTTAAAGGTCCAGTATGTAACATTTAGGATGATCTATTGGCAGAAGTGGAATATAATATTCATACTACTCATATTACTGTTTCCAGTAATGTATAATCATCTCAAGAAAAGAGTCGTTGTGTTTTTGTTACCTTAGAATGAGTCGTTCATATCTACTGAGCGAGGGGGTCCTCCTCTATGGAGTCCGCCGTGTTGAAACACCTTTTTTTTTTAAGTTTTGCAGCGTTACCACTAGATGCCACCAAGTGCTACACACTGGTCCTTTAAGTGTCATTGTGAAGCTGTACTCTCTGTGGTTGCAGCTAAAGATTATTTTTATTATTGATTAATCTGCCCATTATTTTCCAGATTAGTTTTTTGGTCTATAAAGTTGAAAGAAACAAATAATCAAAACTACTCGTTACATAACTTCAGATATCTTGTTTTGTCCACTTAGCGGTCCAAAATCCCAAGATAGTCAATATACTACCACATAATACCAAGAAAAGCAGACATTCTTCATAATTGTCAATCAATCAAGAAGTACTCTAAGTGTAGTATTTATTATATTCATATTTCTACTGCTTCGTTTTTCTTCTTTTACCTACTCCAGTGTCACTGCACCTTATTGGCTTCATTTGTTTATACTTTGAATGCAAGCAGCTGCTGCCTACTGCATTATGTACTCCTGTATCTGTTGTAGAATAACTAGTTTTCTGATCTGGAATAGATTTACAAGACCAAGTCATTTGTTGCATTTTCATATTTCATGCTTGACAAATTTACATTTCATAGCTCTAGGTATACTTGACTTGACTTACAGAATTACAGTGGCTTTAGTGCACAAGGCATGTGTGTTTATTGTATTTGACAGTTTCAAACTTTTTTTCTTCAGGCTTCTCATTAATTTTACTGAATTGAATAAACTCAGTTTATCAACTTCAATTTGCTTCTATCAAACTGTATTACATTCCTCTCTTTCAGTGCCTCATATAAATCAGTTAGAAACAAATATTGTTTCTATTCTTAGTTTGTATGATAGTGTTCCAGTCTGAGTCTGTGTTGTCTCTCTGCTCTCTCCAGGTAGTGTTAGTGTTTCCTGGTCCAGGAGCTGTCTCGGTTCAGGACGTGATGAAGTATTTGCTTGACAGGACTGACAGCGATTCATATTACTCCTCTGATGAACCCTGCATAAAGAGGCTGAAGAGTAAGGAAGTTCAAGGCGCCACACACACTGCCGAGAACCCGGAGTCAGGGACCCCAGATGAAGCAAAGGGCTTTGAGTCAAAGGTGTATCCCCTAGAGAGGGTGGTCTTCATTGACAGCACATGGAACCAGACCAACAAGATCAGCACAGACGAGAGACTGCAAGGTAATCATCAAAGACTGAATTTGTGCAGCGTTTCAAAGAGTCCTGACTGGTACTGATTATTGGGGGTAAACTTACTTCACCCACAATGCTGTTTAACATGATCTCACTCATGTGTTCTCGTGTGCTTTCTGACTGATGTGTTCTCTAGATTTGCTCCGAGTAGAGCTGAAGATGAGGAAAACATGTTTCTGGCGCCGGCAGAAGGGCAAACCAGACACCTACCTTGCTACTATCGAGGCTATTTATTATTTCCTCAAGGACCTCCACGAGCACTGCCTTGCTCAGAAGTACGACGGAGAATATGATAACCTTCTCTTCTTCTACTCTTACCTGCACTCGGTTGTCAACCAGGCTAAGACTTCTGCTGGAAAATGTTGAGAGGAAAACCTGAAATCGGCTACGAGAGACTGTTACAAACTGTAGCTGAAGGGTTGATTCACATGCCAGCCCTGGTGTGTTTGGTTTTATTTTATGGTTGAGTGATATTTTATTTTGTGAGGGATCTGTTTGTATAAGAATATGCAATAAAACACAAAGGGTTTACAAAAACATGAATGAGGTGTGTTTGATACGAGTAAATACAAGAAATAGGATTAAAAACTAAATCCTAGAGTTGCAACAAAGGTTGGATAACCGCAAGCTGAAATAAAACAAAGTGACAACCACAGAAACAGTTAATTGGGGTGCTATAAAATCAGATGGGAAATAACTTTTGAATGAATATTGGTGTGACACAGACTTCTTCCTTTACGGCGTTCCCACTTTAATCCTGTGAGTATGATCTCCCTATTCAAAATCATAATATATAATGTTACAACGTGCGAGGAAATTGACTTCAGATATGTTTAAATATTTTTATTTACAAATCAGTACACGTGGTTGAGTTATTCATGTCCCATATTTTCCACAAAAAAAAAAAACTCATCTTATTAATCGTGGGCACCTTTTGTAATAGAATCACTTTTTTTTTGAAGACCCAATAAATCAGTTCTCCCAAATATATATATATGTTGAAAGCCAATGCTGGAAATATAGTAACTGTCAACCTGCCTCTGTACTTGACAACTACTTTCCATGATGGTGAGCTAATGAGGGGAACACTAGTAGAAGGTCTCTCTGATCTTGGATTGCAGGCTGTCACAGGTCTTCTTGGCATCTCCCAGCAACATTGATGTGTTGGGCTTGTAGAAAATGGGGTTATCTACTGCAGCGTAGCCCACGCCCAAGGTACGTTTCATCACGATCACCTGGAGTTAAATAAGGGCATATGGTCACTTTTTGTTCTGCACAGCTAAAAATACAGTGATACTGCTGCTGCATTGGGCTGTGCATTGGCAAGAATGTGGTGATACTATATATACCATGATACAGGGTTACGATTCAATATATTGCGATATTGTAAGCAAGGTGATGAATTTCATGAAAATAAGAGTATAAAGAACACACCACTATATGCACACAATCTATAGTGTTTTTGAGAAACAGAATATCACAAAAAAATATCGCAACAGGTTATAGTTCCATATTTTCTTACACCCCTAATGCTGCAGCAGCACAAAAAAAAAAAAAGGATGACTTAAAAACCAACCTGTTTGGATTTCCACACCTCCAGGACAGGCATGCCAGCAATAATTGAGTTTGGATCTTCTTGTGCTGCAGAATTCACAGTGTCGTTGGCTCCGATGACCAGTGTCAAGTCTGTCTCTGTGGGCCACAGACATTTACACATTTATACACAAAGACAGACAAACACACAAACCGCTAGCAAAATGCTCTGCAATTGTCCTCACTCATGTTATTGGGTTCCCCCGCACCACACTTATCTCCTCTGTCATAAACAGAACCATGTGTCTCAGACTGAATGCGGGGTTGCTAAGAAAACAAGGCTGTTGCCCTGATAACATGGCATGTCTAAATATCAAGACACAACACTGGACTGCTCCAAGTGTAGAGGGGATGCGATTATTACACATTGTTGATCTAGTATTATTATCCAATACCTTCCTGCCAAAGATATAACCATGTAGCAACAATTACTCTAACAGCTCTCTCTAGAAAAATAGGGAAAAAAACCTGGGAAATCGTCATTGATCTCATCCATCTCCAGGACCACATCATAGGGAACACCAGCCTCAGCCAAGAGGACGTTCAGCTGGCCGGGCATACGACCGGCCACTGGGTGGATACCAAACCTGTTGGAGATGGACGGAAGATATTACCGCTCATCAATACTTAACGACTGGCATTGAAAATTCACTGCTCCCTGATCAATGACGCCCTGCTGCCGCGGTGCCACAGGTACAAATGCACCTGTCTCTTTCTAAACCAGTTCAGATTTGTTAAAATATACAGAAAAACAAGCAGTGGTGGAATATTGAAAACTTTTACAAAATATTTAAGTTAAAAAATGTAAAAGTAAAATTTAAAAATCATACTTATCAAATATTATTAACAAAATGTACTTGAAACTATCAAGACTAAAAGTACTACAACTACTGCGAACTACTGTTTAGTATGTAAAATTTAATTCTGAGAATTAAGTAGTAACTGGAACATAAGGGTTGTGGAGTAAAAAAGTACAGTGTTTCACTCTGTGTGGCGTAGAAGTACAAAGTAATTATCAGAAACTTTACTTAAGTACAGTACAGTAATAAAGTAAAGGTACTTCTGTCTCTCTTTTCTTCAAGTACTAGCAAGGAGTTGCGCTGTGGTTAAAGTGTTGTGTGGATCTTCAGAGCAAAACAGAGAAGCAGCAGTAATCGATGAAGAGGTGTGAGTGAAGACAGTCACCTGACACTCTTGCCTTGTTCCTTCAGCATCTTCACCATGTCTGCAATTGGGTACTGGGCTTTGGCTGCGCACAGACCCCAACCTAAACACAAGAACATACAGACAATAAACATGCAATAGCCTAAAAAAAAAAAACCTTAATTTTAGGATATAATCAGTTTTATTTTACTGGTGTCTAGAGACCATGTAAATTCTTTCTTGGCCTACATTGGAATAAAATTCCACAGTTATTGTTCATTTTTAAATAAAAGCACGAAAATCCAGCAGGGGTTCAAAAACAATAAAACCAGTTATTCCTCGACCCTTCATTCTTTCTTTTGTCCTCCTCTCCGTGTCCTCATCTACCACAAGTCTCCTCTCTGTACTAAATCACAGTGGTTTACTGGTCTGAGAGACATTTTTCTTAGAAAAACTTGCATGTGTGGTGTGCATTTGGGTCCCCTGCGTGCAAAGAACTCCTTTCCCTGGGTCTGCATAACCCCTATTTAACCCTGGTGGTCAGGTACCTTGTAGAGTTCAGCATTACCCCTAATCGAGTTTTTTGAAGCCAGTCGTATAACCCGTATCTTCTAATTCCCCAGACAACTGGAGCCTTCTGTTTCCTCACTGCTGTGCTTTGTTGTTGACAGCGCATGGAGAAGTCTTGAGTCTGGACTCAATAGATCTTATGACTTTTCACTGTTTCTCTAATCAAACCAGCATGTTGGACCACACAGCTGTCCTTGTGTTGGTGTGGAGCCACTGGAAAACAACAGCAATCCAAGTATCCAAGAGTGGTTCCTCTTGCTCAGGTCACTCAACAACTACTCAGTTGTGAGACAAGTTTGGCTCTTTTATCTTAATAGATCCAGACACGTTCACCATCTCACACTAAAAAATTAAGCCCATCATCCTGTACTTTTATCTGACGAGCATGTACTGACACACTCACTTTATATACTATGTGTGTCACATGAAACCAGGTGGCTGTGGGATCATTTGTGGACAAACTGCTCCCTCTTGTGGTTACCATACTTCAATATTCTGACCATAATTAATGACTACCATATCAATCATTCCAAGATCCTGACTATTTCCAAATGCTTTGCGAAAGCTTCTAGCTTTCCCAGAGCTCCCGCGAAAACATTTTTGATCCGCAGTTTGGCAGAGCGGTCAAGTTCAGCCTTTTTTGTCAGGTGAAGTTAATCAGATGAGAGAGATAGCTGATGTTATTGATCTAGACTGTCTGAAAAGCTACAGCTGGACTGCAGAGGAAGAGAGTGATGAGAGAACCTGATATTAAAAAGGTTCTGATCCACCTTTGTCTTTGATGTCGACCCAAACCTCTTTCAACACCAGTCTCTACCAAAGAGTCCAGTCTTTTTCCGCAGTGTCTCCGCTGACTGCTGGGGGAGAAGCCTTTGCTACTGTATATGTATGCATGGTTTACTTATGTGTACATTTGAGTGACTAAAGTTGAGTTGTATTGTGGATAATGTAGGTACTACAATAAAGTTGGAAATGATGTTCCTGATAAATACCCAGTTGACTCACAAATGTCTTGTGCTGGATGTACAGTGTGTACCTGGTGTGATGATGATGCTGTTGGCTTCTTTGATTATGTCAATGGTCTGGTCCACATTGACCTCAGTGTGAGTGCCAACAATCTCCATGGGCTTACCGCCCGCTGTGGAGGTGGTGCCGTACCCACCCAGGATCACATTGGGCAGGGAGCGGTTCATAGCCTTGTAGGGAAGAGGACATTAACTCAGGATCAGGTAATTGTGGCGAGTATATTCTGTAAGTTCACAGATGTGGCTGGATATGCGTTTACTCACCACACACATGATGTAGGAGAGGATGGCACCGGAGGAGCCAATCAGAGCTCCGACAATCGTCATGAGATTGTTGTCTAGCAAGAAGCCCTCAGCACACAGCGCCCATCCAGAGTAGCTGTTCAACACGGTGATGACCACGGGCATGTCAGCGCCCCCGATGGCTGCTGTCAGAGTTACACCCTGTGTGGATGTACAGGAATACGACAAGTTAAAACATGTGAACTACTTAAGCCAACTTGTTTCAAAAAATGAGATATAACAATATACAAAAGAGCAGCAGCCAAGTGTGTACGATCTCCTTTAATTAAGTTTCAAAATTATTGTATAATTTCACCTCTTCTCAGCTTAGTGAATCATTGAAACTCACCATAATAGTGGAAAGCCCTGACACTCCCACTAGACACCCCATGCCAGTACCGTAGGTGGAACTGAGCATAAAGGGCACCATGCCTCCCATCGACGCCGCCATCAGACCAGCATTCAACATGTGTCTTCCCGGCAACAGCAGGGGGGCAGAGTTCAGGACGCCTACAACCAAAAACATTTTCAATAAACATTTTCAAAGAAGCCAGAAATGCTTCCCCCTCTTTTGTACGGCTAAATGGAAATAACTTGACAAGATAAAAACATGTAAACACACTTTTCTCTTAAGTGGTGTTGAGTGTCTTTGGAATCTCAAAGGAGGCCTGTGGAGGCCTCTAATCAGCTGTCTAAAGACTCTCTCCCATCCACAAATCAGACAGCAGCCCTTCATCAACCACAGCAACGCAGCCACTGCCCTGCCCTACTCATGAGAAATTACCAGAAAGCTTCTCATGTGTTCCCCTTGATCAGTTGCACTACAACGTAAATTAGTGACTGATGACACATGCACATAAACCCCCCCCGTCCTGGGTTTACCAGAGGATCTTTGGCTTTAACTGGATGAAAGAGACAATCAGCGCCAGA